TTACAAATGTTATGGTTTGTGATTACATGTTATGTTGTGTGTTGTTATCTGATTACAAACAAATATGTCACGTGGGTGCTTTAGAGAATCATGACTAGTTTTTGATGCTCAGACTTTCACTGTTTATTCTCAATATGAACTTTCTGAATCACTGTTTGTGTTTAATGATGATTTCTTATCCTGACTTTGTTTTGATATAGGTTTATGCCCATTTGAGTCTTAAGATTGAAGTCTGGGATGAAGATGTGTTCAGAGACGACCGTCTGGGGTCATGTGTGAGGAACCTGAGACAGGGGTCACACACTTTTATCTGTTCAGTCCAAAGAGGGGGAATAGAGATCAGATACTCACTCACCTGTGACCGCCATCTGACTGGAAACCAGTGCCAGGACTACAGACCAGTTCCATAGAAACTCAGTCTGAATGAAAGAAACAATGAAACATTATATTAGCATTTCCACTGTATGAGCATTAGCTTTCCCGATTTTTGATCAATATCTTTTCTAATAAATGACATGATAGGTGTTGGTGAAAGTTAAAAAGGTCTGATCTATGTCACTGTGATTTTAGATGATTTAGTAACTGTCTACTTCATCACTTTACTTTGCTAAAAACAGCTAATAAATACACAGAAATGATTTTAAGCATCATTCACGTTGTCCCTGAGCATCAATACTTATCTCTAGCACAGACTGTAGAGGATGTTAAGCAGGAGATGGCGCTATTGTACAAAGGTGTGTTAAAAACAAACAGAGTCATCATATGTAACATCAATGTTACATATTCAACAATAACTGACTTTATTATAGAAAACTAAATTAGATCACACACTCTAATTTATATGATGCTCATTATTATTAATTACGATGCTGCACAGTTTGCCTCAGATGTCTTGACTTTATTATTGACAGGTACAGTTCCAAACATTAAGAGCAGGTCTCTCTCTGTGAGCTCTCTGGACTCTGAATCTTCACTTCACTGACAGTGTTTTTATCACACCGTGTTATCAGGCACCTACCATGAGCCTTTAAAGGTTCTGCATCCACCCTGTCCTCGTGGAGGAAAACTCTTCACATTTCGAGGCGCGGGACAAGCCGTTCCTGTTTGAGCAATGTCTGAAAAAAAGAAAAGAGAGGGTTTCTCAAAGCAGAGAGCAAAGTGTATTTAGTATCCCACCTGACACCAAACTATTCTCTGTGTTTCTTTAAAAAAAAAAACCCTGTAGTGTTTCACACAAAGTCCAGTCTTACAAATGTTTGGACATGTTGGCCAACCGTCTCCTGTCCATCAACTACAGGCCTCAAGTTAATGTCAGCTGACGGGGAGTGTACTGTGGTACAATGACTGATAAATTACCTAATTTATTATTATTATTATTCTTAAGGATTTGCTTCTTCACTCACAATACAGTACAGGCAGGTCCTCCGTGCTGTGCACTCTGGGGCGTCACAACGGGGCAGGAAACCCAGGCAATTGGCCAGCTGGAAGGGGCCGAGTCGAGCGACGGCTGACATTGGTCCATACCTCAATGACAAAATGACTGAACTTCTCTAGACACGGCCTCTTCCCTGGTGTGTAGCGACGCCCCCTGTCTGCACCTAATGTAGATAAGAGTCCACTGTGCTTTACTACTTTGAACATTTTGCAGCCAACGCTCTGGTTTTTTGTTAGTCACTGTTGCATGTTTTCCCATGTCTGTGTTCAAACCACTGAGAGTTTCTACTGTCTATAAAACGGTTTGACCATTTCATCTGTTTTTGAACGGGTCACTGCATTCTGACGCAGCAGGGACAACCAAATGTGACCTCTGTTTTTACCCCATCACCAAAGTGAACAGTGGGCAGCAGTGTGTGATGACGGAGGCATGCTCAGTGCATCTCAGTGGTAACTTGGTGGACTCCAACCCGAAACCTTCCGGACACAAGTCTGCTTCCTTAACCACCAAGCCACCACTGCCCCTATGGGGGCACTAGGGGGCACCTTCATCGGGCCAGGAAGGTCATTCTCTACAGATGTGTGGTGGTAGGGGTGTAGCCTTATCCTAGCATTCCAGCATCCAGCACCTCCATTCTCTCTTATCTTCCTCCACGTGGACGTAGGGACAAGGAGGTGGTGGATGACCCCAGCCCCTCAGGCCCTTGTATGGCCATCATGTCCCTCAGTGAGAAAGAGAGAAGGACGATAAGCAGCCACTGCCATCTTTAGCACAATGTGTTTTAGTTAAATTTAGAGCCCTTATCAGCTCCTCTTTTGCTCCTCCTCCTCCTCCTGCTCTTCCTCCTCCTCCTCCTCCTCCTCGTCCATCTCCTCCTGCTGAGGTGAGGTGCTCCTGCTGACATACCACCTTGGTCTTCATCAGGAGTCCGGCTGCAAAACAGGTAGGTCAATAATTTACTTCATCTTTCATTTCAGTTACTTTTTTATAAAATTCAACGAAACATCGACTGATCCAGTTTAAAGAGACAGTTCATTTATTTACTTTGCCATAAAACGTCATCAGCGGTTTCTAAATCAGCGGTCCCCGGTCGGCCGGTTTCAGCTGGTACCGTGGACCAGTAATACCACGTCATCGTCGAAGGATCATCAGTCTGAATGACCATCAGTCTGAATGACCATCAGTCTGAATGACCTGTTGTTTTGAAACCTTGACAGATTATATTTGAATGAAAAAAGTAAAAGGATATGACTGGATTCTTTTGGAATGAAGTAAATCAGTTTTTATTGATTTACATTTTTTCACTGTGTCCCACTGTGGCCCATTACCGAATGACCCACGGACCAGCACTGGTGCCAGGACCGGGGGTTGAGAACCCTGCTCCCTGCATTTAGTAACATTCTAAGACAATGATACTTAGCCTTAAGTTGTTGTTTTTTTAAATATTAAAACCTTTTAAATAAAAAATATAAAACTCTCAATTTATAAACTTAAGTTTTTTAAACATTAATTTTCGACACTAAAGAAACAGCTGGCTGTTACACATCGTTCCAGTAGATGAGTTTGTGACAGAAATTTGTACAGAGTTTTATGTATTCTGAAAAAATGTTGTCGTACCGTGAAACACATTCTTGAAATACAGTCAATTTAAGTCAAGGTCAAATGTCAAATGTGCTGCTTTGTGACTTTGACTTCTATTAAAACCTTGAATTGTACAAGAAGAAGAAGAACGGTCAGAAGGTCATCACCTAATCTTCATAAAAAGTGAAATATGAAGTCGGTGTCTGCAGAGGTCGCATGCAGTCAAATGTTTCAGGAGGTGAAGTGTTAACAGACGCGGGGGAGGAGAGGGAGGGTGGGAGTAGAGGAGTTGGGGGAGGGTTAGTGTTTGATCCTCGTCCTCATCAGACACTTCTAATCGTCTCAGAGGAGAGAAGTAGAAAATCCAACTGAGATCCTGTTTTTATCAACCTTTTGATCTGAATCAGAAACTGAAGCAGTGAGGGTGAGTGGATGATGATGAAGATGATGATGATGATGATGGGATAAGATTCCCTGACTGTTTGAATCCTGTTCAGCTACAATAAGACTGATGTGTTCCCTGTTTGCTGCAGGTTCGACAGATCCCATCATGATCCAAACAGGGACCTCGACCCTGCTCTCAGCACGGAACCTGTTTCTTTTGGTGACACTCATCTGGTTGGAGACCCAGGGTGCGACGGCCGGTGGTACTGCAGTGACCCTACAGTCCAACGACACACTCAGCAACAGAACCAAGTGTGGCGGCAGCACCTTCTGCAAAGTGGGTGTGATCCTGCCAGTGTGGAAGCCGGACAACCCCGCATTCCCTGAGCGCCTGGCCAGAGCCTCCATTTACTTTGTGGGCATGGTTTACATGTTTCTGGGCGTCTCCATCATAGCCGACCGCTTCATGGCGTCCATCGAGGTCATCACCTCCCAAGAAAGACAGATCACCATTAAAAAACCCAACGGTGAAAAGTTCACCACAACAGTGCGTGTTTGGAACGAAACCGTGTCCAACCTGACCCTGATGGCCCTCGGCTCCTCCGCCCCAGAAATTCTTCTGTCGGTTGTGGAAGTGTGTGGTCACAACTTCGCTGCTGGCGAGCTTGGACCCAACACCATCGTGGGAAGTGCGGCCTTCAACATGTTTGTAATTATCGGCCTATGCGTGTCCGTTATTCCTGATGGTCAGACCAGGAAGGTGAAGCACCTGCGGGTGTTTTTTGTCACCGCAACCTGGAGCATCTTCGCGTACACCTGGCTTTACCTGATACTGGCTGTCATCTCCCCCGGGGTGGTGGAGATATGGGAGGGACTTCTTACGCTCTTTTTCTTTCCCATCTGCGTCGTTTTTGCCTATGTGGCCGATCGCAGATTTCTCTTCTACAAGTACATGTACAAACGATACCGGGCTGGGAAACACAGAGGAATGATCATCGAAACGGAAGGAGAACCCGAGCCCCAGAAGATTGACCTTGAGATGGATGGCAAAATGCTGGGCTCCTGTAGAGAGGCGTTGACGGCTGGAGAGCTGGGCTTTGACTTGAAGGACCTGGATGATGAGGAGGCTCGTAGAGAAGCATCCAGGATCCTGAAAGAGTTGAAGTTGAAGCATCCAGAGAAGGAGCTAGATCAGCTGATGGAAGTTGCTAATTATCAGGTTTTATCGCAGCAACAGAAGAGCCGTGCCTTCTACCGCTGCCAGGCCACCAGGATCATGACCGGAGCGGGCAACATCCTGAAGAAGCACGCTGCCGATCAGGCCAAGAGAGCCGCTCAGCACGAGTTCACCTCCGAGGTCTCAGTCAACGACTTCTCCTCCAAAGTTTTCTTCGACCCAGGTTCATACACCTGTCTAGAAAACTGTGGCAGCGTCGCACTGAATGTGGTGCGACGAGGTGGCGACCAATCGAGCACGGTGTTGGTGGACTACAGGACGGAGGACGGCACTGCCAATGCTGGTTCGGACTACAAGTTCACAGAAGGAACCATTGTGTTCCAACCAGGAGAGACGGACAAGGAGATCCGCATTGACATCACTGACGACGACATTTTTGAGGAAGACGAACATTTCCTGGTTCACCTCAGCAACGTGAGGGCGCTGTCGCGCAGAGACAGCTCGGATTTGCGAGAAACCGGTCAAGTAGACCCCGTCGCAAGTTTAGGCCTCCCCTGTACAGCTACCATTACCATCTACGATGACGACCACGCTGGTATTTTTACCTTTGAGGAGCCAGTGGTGACGGTGAGTGAGAGCGTGGGGATGATGGAGGTGAAGGTGGTGCGGACCTCGGGAGCCCGGGGTGTAGTTTTGGTTCCATACAAAACCACGGAGGGAACAGCAAAAGGTGGCGGAGAGGACTTTGAGGACACACTGGGAGTTCTAGAATTTGACAACGATGAGATTGTGTAAGTATGACTTCTCTTACAACATCAAAGAGTTATTGTACTATATCACTTGGGTCAAAACCAATCACATTGTGGTTTCACATTCTTACTGGTAGAAAAGAATGGAATTACATCTAAGTTTTCTTTGGTTGATCCTGTCTTCAGACAAATTAACTTAACTAAAAAAAAACCCCTGCCAATTGGACATCAGGGTGGTTACCAGTTTCTCTCGCCTAAATACTAGAAATTGATCCTAAGTCTCTTGGAACCTGCAAAAAAAAAACCCCACATCTGACTCCCACCTTTCACCCCCCGTCTTTTACATCAGGATCAGGCAAATGCACATGGGAAATGTAGGCCACACTGTCCAGAGGTCTGAGTGAGAGAGAGAGAGATAGTGGCTCCATAGTTTCCAGGTCGCTGTTGTCCACCATTGTCGCTGCGGCTCTTGGTGTCAGGCCGATAAACATCACGCTGCGCTCTTCCTTATAAGGGCATCAGCCTGTATGAAGCGCGGGCTCCTGCTCATCGTCGCGGCATCAGGTCATAAAGCAGGCGACTCGCCGCAGGCGGCTGCTGTCAGAGCCCACGACTGTTTGCTGGCCGTGTCTCCAGGGCTGAGCAGAGACAATAAACAGACATCCTGTTTTACAAAAGCTCAACGCTGAATCACATGACTGTGAAACTTCAGGAGCTTTGAACTTTCAACACACCCACCATGACACCGCCGTGGATCACAGCTCTTCTTCTGGATGTTTTCCTGTTGGCGTCCACCAGGGGTGTCAAACTCAAACTCAGCCTGATTAGATACCAAGTGTACCAAGCATATTAGAAAACATTCATAGTTAATGAAATATAATTTAACAAAACACCACAAACATGAAGTGTTTTTTCACTTTCAAAATTCATCAACTGGGCCGGATTGAACCCCCGAGTGGCCCGGTTTTGTCCCACGGGCCATATGTTTGACACCCCTGGTCAGCAGTTAGCAGGGTGTCACAGGACCCTTAAGACTTAAGTCAGCTATGACCCCGCCCACTAAAATACATTATACTTTATTTATAACAGGAAACAAAAGATTTGAACTCAAACCAGTGTCTTTGGAGAACAGCAGTGACTGTGTCATGGTGTTCATTTAGAATGTGATATAAAAAAAAAAAAAACATGGATGATTTTACTCTGCTGCCTTTGGTTTCACTATTCCATCAATTATCTGCATTTTCCTACTGTTTTTTTTTCTCAGTAAAACAATTCAGATCAATATTATTGATGATGAAGAATATGAGAAAAACAAGAACTTCTTCCTGGAGATAGGGGAACCTCAGCTCCTGGAGATGAGTGAAAGGAAAGGTGGGGGTGTGGCCTTAACGTCATCTAACCCCACCCACAACACTAACGACATTTCCTTGACCAAAGTTCCCAAAAACTAACGGTGAAATTCACATTAACCAGAGACTGTGTTTGATTAACAACGACTTCGTAGTCAGTGACGTTACCGTCGCCGAAATGTGGTTTTTCAAAGTGAAACAGATGGGGGCAGTATAACTCTGCGTCGTCATAGTAAACCTGCAAACCCTGCAGCAGAAGACAGAGGGTGCAAAACCTAAAAAAAGTGATACTTTCTCCAGAACCTCATGGAGAAAGTTACAGTTTTCAGGTTTTCACGGTGACACTGGTGGACGGGCATCGACGTAACTTGGATTTCCTGACATTTTTTGTCAATTTCACTCATGTGACGTCATACTGCGACTGTTTGAATAATCAAAATCTCCCCCGTGTGTCGCACTGACACAGTGGTGATTATTAATTTAACCCTTGAGTCTCTGAAATCACAGCTGCTGTGACGTCACCCTGTGGTGCAGTGTTAACTACAGTGACGGAGATTTGACAATCTGTGTGTGTGTGTGTGTCCACTAATTACCTTACCCATCCCCTGTTGTCGTCCCTTGGTGTCCACAGGAAGTCCCTAACCGTTAGAATATTTGACCATGAGGAGTACGATAAGCGCATCAGTTTCTTCGTAGAGCTGCAGGAGCCGCTGTGGAGGAAGAGACGACAGACAGGTCTCTGTCCTCTGACCTGTCACCTCTGACCTGTCCAGCTCCTCTTTGCTGCTATGCCTCTGTTGCTTTCTCACTTTACAGCACCACCTGCTGGAATGAATTAGCAATCACATGTTAGGTGAATTTTTAAAAAAATGTCCACTGTCTAAACAAAAAAAAAAAAATTAAAAAATATCTAGCGAATTTTTAAAAAAATTTCCACTGTCTAAACAAAAAAAAAAAAAATTAAAAAATATCTAGATACAAATGACATCAGTGACATCAAGTGTCAGCAAACAGGGACGGCTCAAATTTTTAAATAACAAAAATAACAACAAGTTCCCACTCACAGTGTTTAGCCTATAACAATATTGAAATATATATATTATAATATGTCAAATATATAGTTTTAGTCTGGCAAACATTTATGTCCTTGTACCTGACGGAGAGTCGAGTAGATTATAAGATAAGAGACAGAATGTGTGTTGAACTTCAGAGGAACTGGAGGGTCTGCAGGTGGAACAGGTTATGGAGTTACGGTCAAGTTAGAGGATGAAGAAGATGAAGATGAAGTGTGTGTGTAAGGAATGGAAATGTAGGGCAAAGGAACGAGAGAGAGGAAAAGAGAGAACAAGTTACTAAAGAAACTGATGAGTTATGTGAAGTCCAGTGAGTTCTGAAGACTTGGCTGAGTTAGAGCTTAGGTCAATTTGAGAACAAAGTCGGTGAGTTAGTAAGACGGAGCCGACGTCCTCCAGCAGGACGTGTTTCCTGTTTGTTTGTGTGTTTATCTTTTCACTCACTTCCTTCCATTTGTTTCCTCTCTTCAGCTGTGTTGCTTCAGGAAGCTGGTAAGCTTCATTTTTCCTATTTCTCTTCTCCTTTCTGTCCATTTATTTCCAGATTTGCAATTTTTTTCAAATTTTATTTTCAGTGACTTTAACTTTTTTTCTCACTCTGTTTCAGGTGGATTTACTAAAACAGGTTCGTGACTTTGGGATTATTAGTTTGATCAAGAATATACTTTTTCTTCATTTAAGTTAATGTGTCTGTTGCTTTTGTTTGTTTGTTTGTTTTTTTGTAGACAAACAGCTTTTTGGTGAGGAGGCAGTGACATCATGTAACTGTTTGTTTTCAAAGTGTTTCAGCCTCTGAAAACAACATACAGTGTGTGTTTGTGTCTGGATGTTTCTGTGTGTCTGTCGTTGTCAGTGTCTGTAAAACAGAACACGCCGTTAATGATTTGGTTAACGATTTGGTTAACGATTTGGTTAACGATTTGGTTAACGATTTGGTTAGGGGGAGGTGGTTTGGAGAGTGGGGGGGGGGGGGGGGGGGGGGGGAGTGGCGTGACCTGGGACAGAGTTTCCTAACCTTTTTATGAGTTGACCTGTTTAGTTGAAGACAACACTGATATACTGGCAGGAATTGAAGAAAGACACTTCTTATTCGATAGCTCTGATTCTCCTTTTTTTAGTTTTTGTAGCCATCTGCTGCCATCTAGTGGAAGAGTATTTAATTGTGCTGCCTGTCACTGTGCATAGACATACAAAGAAAAATGATTTGCAATCAATAAATAATTGTTTCAGACCAAATAAAAAATTAGATAATTCTCCGCGGCACAGTGGGTGGGAATCACTGACCTAGGACATGGTCTTCAACAGGGGTCTGTGACCCTGAGGGGGTCCTTAGAGTTAATGCAGTGAGGTCGAGAATTGATTTTTCTTTTCTATTAATTTAAGTGTATTAAAATATAAGTAATTACATACAAACGACATGTGTGATGTGTGTGATGTGTGTGTGTGTGTGTGTGTGTGTGTGTGTAAAGTGACCTTGTAACTTATTCCCTCATCTCTTCAGGTCAAGACATCTACAGAAAGGTCCAGGGTAGAGGATGCTCTTCCTCCTCCATCGTCAACATCACAGGTTCATTTGTCCATTCGTTAGTTCATCTTTCCATTTATTTACTTAATCACTGATCGTTTTCACCGCTGCCCTCGGCAGATGCCGATGACGAGCTGTTGACCAAGAAGGAGGAAGAGGAGAGACGGATCGCCGAGCTTGGTCGTCCGATGCTGGGGGAAAACGTCAAGCTTGAGGTCATCATCGAGGAGTCATACGAGTTCAAGGTTGGTAGAAACACAGTAAGCGATGTGTCAGCGATGGCACAAATCTCCCTGCGGGTGGCGTTATTTTACGGTTTTGTTTCAGAACACTGTGGACAAACTGATCAAGAAAACCAACCTGGCTCTGCTGGTCGGCACAAATTCCTGGAGGGAGCAGTTCATGGACGCCATCACAGTCAGCTCAGGTTCGACCTTTGACCTCTAACTTTGCCCCTGGTCACTCACCACTGCTCTACATTTGACCCGACACTTTTCTTCCGCAGGTGACAATGACGATGACGACGAGTGCGACGAGGAGAAGACGCCGTCTTGCTTTGACTACGTCATGCACTTCCTCACCGTCTTCTGGAAGCTTCTGTTCGCCTTGGTCCCGCCCACCGACATGCTGAACGGGTGGGCGTGTTTCGTCGTGTCCATCTCCGTCATAGGTCTCCTGACGGCAGTGATCGGCGACCTGGCATCTCACTTCGGCTGCACCATCGGACTCAAAGACTCCGTCACTGCTGTGGTGTTTGTAGCTCTGGGAACCTCGGTACCAGGTGTGGAGTCCATAAATAAAAATATAAATAAATCAAAATAATTATTCTGGGGACACCATTAAAATCTTCTTCTTCTTCTTCTTCTTTCTCACGGTAACACATTTGCAAGCAAAGTTGCAGCCACTCAGGACCAATATGCCGACGCCTCCATCGGTAACGTGACGGGCAGTAATGCCGTCAACGTCTTCCTGGGCATCGGAGTGGCCTGGTCCATTGCTGCCATCTACCACGCCAGCAAAAACCAGCAGTTCAAAGTGGACCCAGGCACACTAGCCTTCTCTGTCACTCTCTTCACCATCTTCGCCTTCATCTGCGTCGCGGTACTGATCTACAGGCGCCGGCCCTCGATTGGCGGCGAACTGGGGGGACCACGCATCCCCAAGATCCTGACCACCAGTCTGTTCTTTGGTCTGTGGCTAATGTACATCATCTTGTCCTCGCTGGAGGCCTACTGCCACATCCCAGGCTTCTGAGCACGCAGGTCTTAGTCAGTCTGGACTGAACTGCAGGCCTGTTCTGATGGGTTTCTGAGGGCTCTGAGAGATTAGGGTCTTTTTGTTTTGTCTTTTATCTGAACCGCCTGAGAGCGCCTCAAAATCGTAGGAGAAACAAAAAAAAACTCCATAAGAGGATTACTTGTTGTAACCTAAGCCTAATTACTATTACACATTTTTAATAAATGATAAAAAGGTATGAATAGAAAATGTATTTAAAGATTAGGAGCAAACCAAACTTTTTGTCATTTGTCACTTCTTTTCTGCCTTTTCCTGAAATGCTTTGTTAACCATGAACTGCCGCTCCTTCTTACAGTGTTTCATAGTAAACCCTGAGAAACTGTCGCCATTTGTTTTTTTATTTACTGTCCACCACATCTGATACAAAGTCAGGGAACGGACAGAACTGTGACACTAATGAGGCCGACTGATGATGTCAGAGGCACCGACTGATGATGTCAGAGGTAATGACTGATGATGTCAGAGGCACCGACTGATGATGTCAGAGGGACCGACTGATGATGTCAGAGGCACCGACTGATGATGTCAGAGGGACCGACTGATGATGTCAGAGGGACCGACTGATGATGTCAGAGGCACCGACTGATGATGTCAGAGGGACCGACTGATGATGTCAGAGAGGCATCAACTCCTTGTATCTGCACTGGTTTTGAAGTTTTGTAACTAAATTGTAACAGTTTGGTTTGGGTCAGGTGTCACGTCCTGTGTGTGTTTGTGTTTGTGTGTGTGTGTGTGCGTGTGTGTACATTCACTGGTGAGATCTTGGTCTGAGCTGCGATGTGAATTTTCAAAGCAGCGCGGTTTGTTACACATTAAATTATAACGAGTCACAGGTCGTCTCTAATCTTCTCTGACGTCTGTCAACACTTCCTGACGGTTCACAGAATTAAACATGTAAACATGCTAACATGCTAACATGACTAAAAGAGCTAAAGTAGCACACACTCTACAGACTCCAGGTGTTGGAACTGTTGAAAAGAATATCGTGTTTTTATTATGAATATTTTTAAAGTTGCTGTCACTGACGTGTTATTGGCTGAGAGTGAACTTCCTGTCCAATGACATCTCTGGAAAACACATCTCTTTTTGTTTCTAAATTGCTCATTGTAATCTTTGTCATTTCTTTGTTCATTCTTCCTTTGAACAAAGTTTATTTTAATAAATATCAAAGGATGTTCAAAGGTTGACCAAGGGGCTTTGAGGAACCATAAACACAAAGAGCAACTGAGACGAAAAGAAAAAGGAACGACGACACGAGACGACGAGAGGACGTCAACAGCTGTTAGAACTCCCAAAATTGAGCTAAGGAAATCGATCTAGGTGGACACAAGAGAAGAAGAAAACTGAAAGACCGATGAAGAGAGTCCAAGGCCAATGAAAATCCACACACTGTTTGAAGAACCTGAAGTCCACAACCTGTCATTATTTACCCGCAGAAGACACAAACCACCTGCCGCTGAACGTCCAATTCCACCATGGTCAAGACCAGAAACCAGGACAGAAAAACCTACAACCTACGATCTGTCTCGAACCACTCGATCAAACGACAATCTTTCACCTGCAGATCATACAAACGAAAAGCACTCACAGGTCAAAGGTCAAAGAAAAGAAGAATGTTTCTGCACCGATTAAACAAACAGGCAACAGCCAAACACCGCAAGATTAACGTCACGCTTTTCAATCAAGCCATGGCGTTCGTCCACCACGTCCTTCTGTCGTCACCTCTGTACACGTTCAACACGGTTCAAGAACACGCAAAGAAGTCTTTGCTCTTCATCAAAACCAAATTTAATTTTTGACACAGTGGCTCGAACCCTAAACCCAGTCAAGGGATCTGCACTGAACCGATTTTGGCACATGAGCATGTTTTTAAAAAATGACCTGACATTGTCTTTCTGCATCCACACCAATTGGTGGCGCTGTGGAGGTTTTATCTGCCGTCAAAAAGAATAAAAAACTTTAAAAAAAAGCATATTGATGTCGGCACTCACCTGATCACGTGACTGCCAAATGCCATCCAAGTACAAACCACAAAATGAATTAGTCCAGTGCCCTCTAGAGGAATCCCGGAGTTACAGCATGTCATCAGAATAAATATGCCCTGTGTGAAACATAATTAATAGCGTCTTCTCTTCACTGAATTAATTAAAGGGAAAGTTCTCTGTTCATTATGATTTAATTACTGCCCTCAGGCAGGCACACTTATTATTTTATTTTTTCCAATTTTTGCGCCTTCAAATTTAATCAAATCCAAATGAGCTTGAGTCTAAGAGAACAGGAGAAACGTCACTACTTTATCTGGCTGCTCTTTCCAAAAGGGAAACCACCTGAACTTCCTACTGCTGCCTCCAGGGGTCAGTTTTAAACTGAGGTGTCTCTTAACAAATATCATCACCAATTAAATAACACAAAATATTTTAAAAAATGGAGGATAGGTGTCGGTGGGTGACAGAAAGGCACCTATGAAATAAAATGTATTATTATTATAAACAGTGAACAACATTTTTGAGTAAACTTGTGGGTAAATCAGTGGTTTATTTAGTAAATGAAGGGTTAGGGTTAGGGTTACCCAACATTTAGTTTGCTATATGAATTAGTGGAAGTTTGTGTTTCGACTTCCACTTGTTGCTTTTACTGAAAAGAGTAGATTGTGGATTTGTTTAACAACAAGAACAAAGGATTCAACCCTGGGCTGCAGGTCTGATCAAAAGACATAAAAATCACTGGAATGAAAATAACATTTAAACTTACTGATGGAGACCGCAGTGGGGCAACTAGATCACTTTTGTGGAGGCAAAACCTGAGGGGTAAAAAAGTGGACATACTTTAAGACACGGTCCTTCATCATTGTCACACAACAAGAGCAACAACATTTGGGTGAATTAATTTTTACTGATCCATAACATAAATAGGACAAATGGTTCACTGTACATATGAGAAAATAAATAGTGTCACAGCAATAAATTAAAGCAATAAGTGAAAGCAGTTTCCTTATTTACACAGTTATTTACACTTGCATGAAAGTGTTGTTTCCAGAACTTTCACTTCACATTCTTCACAAATTCAGTAACAGATTAAAAAAACATGATCACAGCTTAGAAAAATATCACACTTCTGTGCCTCCAGTCAGTCACCGCGGCAGCTCTCCTCCTCCAGCGTCCTCCTGTCAGCCCATCCTGACCAATCACAGACGCAGCAGAGCCACAATTCAAGTCACACCAACTGACGGCAACTCACTTCATCTTTATCAGCTCAGCTGATGAAGCTCATGTGACACGGAGGACGGGGAGCTGCCAACTGTAACACTGCGACCTCGTCACCTTCATTTTCGTGTGTGTCTAATTAGAAAAACCACGTCTTCACAGACATTAAGCAGGAATTGCAAAGTTAAAAAAAAAAAAAAAAATCTTAACCAAACTTAATAGGACACCAGGGCTATGGGACACCCAGCAAGTGGCGCCAGACCAAAAGCTTTCATCTTCCAGCTAAGGGTCCAAAATCACATGCACACACACACACGCACACACACCGAACAACAACGAAAATGAACCGATGCAAACATTAGGGAACAGCAAAAATGGTCAAAATCATCATCATCATCATCATCATCATTTTTCCACGTGTTCGTGTTCCAGCACGTTCCTTTTTCTGTGACTGTGGCTTGACTTTTGTCCACACAAACACACAAGAACACCCACAGATGCACGAAAAGGGTTTGGGCAAATTAGAAATGAGATATATATAAAAAAGAAGTTTGACTTAGAAACCATAGAATCGAGAACGTTGCTGATGAGAAGAGGTTCTAACATGACTTATTCTACATTGTGTCCCACCTTTAAATTGGAGGGCTGCCTCCAGCAGTCGCACTCTATATTAACAACAGTCTAATCATAAAAAGTTATTTTTGTAATTATATCACAGTCAGTTGCTGCACTCTATATTAACAGTCTAATCATAAAAAGTTCTTTTTGTAATTATATCACAGTCAGTTGCAGCTTCAAACGTACTAGTCGACAACCAAACTAATATGTTGCCAGTTACCAATTTCCTGCAAACAAATTCATTTCGTTTGTAACATCACCATAGCGTTACCTGAATGCTAGCTAGCATGGTTGCGAATCCACCCAGTCCCTTCAGAAAGCACTCAGTGTTTATCAGTATAATCCAAACACGAAGGCTAAAGTTTGCTTTAGCTAACTGGTTCATGAACAGAAGTTAAGAATTAAGACACTGACGAGCTGTGTCAGTCCCTTTTAGTTTCCACACATCAACAAAGTTAAGGCCAGCACAACTAAAGACAGACTTAGCATGTAATGCAATACGAACAAATGTGTTCAGCTACGTTCGGCTAGTGCTAAATATTTAAGCTAACTACCTCCAAAAGAACTAGTGCTTGTTAATCTGCCGCCTGCTAACTGATTTGAAACACAGAAATGGTTGTATACACGACGATGTGACTAAAAGCAAGGTCACACGTTAACAACGCTAATGTCCAATGAGCATCTCTGAGACAGGACCTAGAAGATTTGGATGGAACTATAGCCACCCACTAAAAATTCATTTCTACACGATCACCCCAAGACAAATGTGACGTGACCAGCCACGGATGGATAAACTGTCACCGCTGTTAGCTTGAATAGCACAATATTTAGAAACTGTTAGACTAGCTCAAAGTCGGACAAAAAGTCTGGTCCCATCAGAGCACCTGACATGTTTTGTTTTTTCATACGCTGTTTATATAAATAGTGCTAACTTAAGACAAAGATGCTAACAAAATAAGATGTAGCAAATTACATATATATTACAAACGGACCTATACTACAGCTTAGCTAAGCTAAGCTAACAGTTTCTGCTGTTTTCCTGTTTTTTAAGGGTCCACTATACAATAATCAAGCACCAAAACTAATCACTTTTGAAAATTCAGTGAATTATTTCATCAGAAATGCCTACTTTGCAACAGAAGCCTCTAATTTGATCAGCTCAGAGAGTGCCACTTTTACAAAACAAAATTAGGAATATTCCGATTTCATTTTGGTCAGAAAATGTCAAGTAACATTCAAATTTCTTCAACTTTCAGCCAATTATTTTTTTTATTCCATGAGCTAACTGTGCATGGTCCTACAGGTATGGTAGTACAGTTGATGTCATTATACACTGTCCAAAGAACAAAACACACATGTGAATGATGGAAGTTCTAAACAAGAAAATTCAACGAGAAAGAGGATACGACACTTCAGACAAAACACAAAATAGACAAAGAACGTGAGCAGTTAAAGAAACTGGTGTTTATCACGGAAACATGCAAAAGGTTGGTGTAACAGTAGATGAGGAAAGGGACAGGGTGAGATGAAGGCAAATAATCTGCTACCCCTGGGGGGAGCAGCTGAAAAAAGAAGAAGTTGACTCAGTTAGCTTGCTTCCTAACAGCAACGAGCAGCAAATATCAATGTTTTTTTAGGCAAAAACTGGATTCAAGGATCCAGCTGTTCTTAAGTGACCCCTGCTGGAGTGTCAGTAACTGCACCAGACAAAATAAGATGTAATTGAAGAGAACTTTAAGTCGTAAGCTTAAAACCGTGGTGCTGAGTATTGTTTACTGGACCTTTAAGCAAAGCTAGGCTAACGTAACGAAAGACTAAACACAAGTTGTGTTTTTCTCTGACGTTAATTTTTCTTACTGAACTAAGTCGACAGAAGTTTGTGAAACACTGAGATGGCATAGTCTGTCTTCCTCTCTCTTGTTCAAACACACACACACACACACACACAAACACACACACACTTCCAACAGTGTCAGGTGTGAAGGGTAGGACGTCCCAGTCGAAGAGCACTGCTCTTCTGCATCTACCTCGCCTCACACTACCAAACATTTCTTGGGATCTCTGCAAAGACCTGAAATAGTTCCGAAAACGTACACAGACACGGACGTTTGTGGCCTTTATCTGGAGATTTCGGGACAGAAACTGAAACGTGGGAAAACCAATAAGAGTCCAGTTATTTTTCACCAAAGTTTGTTGAGTTGTTGGCAGCGAGAAAAAGTAGGATGAGCTCCTGGATGTTGGGCAGGTGACTTTGTCCCATATCTTAAATCCAGGCGGAGCTTAAAAAAAAACAAACAAACAAACAAAAAAAAAACATGCAGCAAAGGCAGGTTAATAAATCAAAAGTTAGTGGATGAACTCATTTTTACCTTGAGAGACAGCAGTTGAAGCTGGATGTTCATGCAAACGTAGGTACAGTGTTGAGTGAGAAGTAGTTTGAACTCTGATGTAAAGATGGAGGTGTGTGGGAGAGATCCAGTTTAAATCTCAGTCTCTGGCAGTCTGGTAAAAGTACCGGAAATATTGACCGACAGAAAAACTAAAGACGTTGAGGAAAAGAAGACAGCAGAAGCTTCTACCTTACTGGAACGGAGCAAGTGATTTAACACTGACTCTGACGCCAGTGGAGGCAGTGTCTAAGGATTACTCAGTTAAGTGTTGACCTGTCTTTTTTTACTCTCTGAACCTGCTGCTGAACTACGGTGGAATGAGGAGCCACCATCCAGACCAGGCTCAGGCAAAAAGAAAGATAAACACTGACCTCTAGCGTTACAGAGAGCAGTACAAAAGAAAAGGACTGGCTTTGTGGTACTGTACAGCGACCTCCTGTGGAATAGGTGGATATGTGCAGGACTGCATGTTGGCGCCCGGCGCCAGTGTCATAGGTCAGGGTCAAGTCTTTCAGCGCTGAGAGAGGGTGGAGCTAATGGTGGTCAGTCTCCATGTGCAAAGCATCAGGTTTGTGTTTCTAAATCTTGTCCAAACACTGAATTAGCTCCACCCACTCCCTGGCTTCACCAACAGCTACTGGCGGACCTCGTTGGCGATCAGACTGTCCTCCCCTGACTGGAAATCCGCCTCATTGATGCTGTTTCCTCCGTTCATCATGTCCTCGTCCTGAGACGAGCCACGATCTTCTTCACCACCGCTGCCACCGTCCTGCAGCACCTGAGCAATGTACATCTGCTGCTGCTGCTGGAAAGAAGAAGAACGGAAACACCAGTCAGACGGTGCCGCGGCCGCACCACAGCAGATCCCAGACTCCGTCCCACCCACGGCACTTACCTGAGACTTGGTGGTGGGTGAAGACGAGGGACGAGCCGGACGTCCATTTTCTACCGCGTCCACGTCGGTGTCCTTGGTATCAATCTGTGCGACAAATATAGAGACAAACGGCTGATTGGACGTCTCCGCGTCACTTTTCGAACCTTGCATGCGACGGTCTTTACCTTGTAGTTGTGAGCGCTGAGATACTTGAAGTGTCCGAAACAGACGTGGGACAGACAGACCACGATGGTGACGATGAGGACCACCAGTGTGAACATGGACGTCGGAGTCTTGAAACCTGTCACGTCAGCATAGAAGAGGCGTAAAGGTGGCTTTTCACTTTCATGAACGACAAGCTCTTCACTTCACTAATGATCAGAGGAGGAATCTTTTTTTTTTCAAAATTTTTTTCAACATGGATTGTTTTTCCTCGTGTTTAATTTTTTTAACTCTACAGCGTGTTCTTTTCCAATGTCGCGAAGTAAAATACTTGAGCCAAAATGTACTTAAGTAAATGTAAAATGACTTATTACTGAAACTACTTAAAAAAAATTATAAATTAAACACAAAAAATACTCAAAAAGTTATAAATTAAACACAAAAACTACTCAATTACAGTAACGTGAGTAAAATGACTTTGTTACTTTCCACCTCTGCTAATGATGAACTTGTTTAGCTAACGACATGCTCTCAGCGTTGTCGTCTACAGAGACTTGGTGACCGCCCGGTGGCGACAGGGAACCGTAAGCGTTGAAAGGCTAACATGGGATGTGTGCTGTGCTCGTGTCGTGTCGGTCACACACCTGTGCGAACGGTGGAGAAGAAGAGCAGCCAGAAGAGACAAAGAATGGGAGCAGCCACCACCTGGGTGACGGCACCAGAGTGGATCTTCTTGTCCAGTTTGGACGGCAGGTAGGCGTAGTACATGTTGTATCGATCCACCAGATGTTTGAGCAGCATGTACATCAAACCTGCAACGGAGTCACGGCAACGACTGTGTCATTTAGAAGTTGTTCTGATGACGCACAGTTTGAATGAAAATGTTTAGAAACTTTAAGAGTTGAGGTGAAACACTGGAAGATGTTATCAACACACATCAAAATCAGTGAAGGATCTGAAGAAGGTGTAGTGGAAGGAGGCGGGGACTAACCGAAGGGGACAATGATTGGACAGGTGATACTGTACGCCATCACCACCGTGAAGACGTTCATCATCCAGGCGTACGCCGCCCCGAACTGGAACTCGTAGGCCTGGTGCTGAGGAGGCAACAACATCACGTGGTCAGTTAGATCCACCGCACGAGGTGACGGTGACTATTACAGCCGCAGCGTGTGAAGTTACCCTCTTAACGTTGCGACGGTCAGCGGCAGACCGAGCCAGACACAACCGGATCATGTACATGAGGAGACCAGGAATCCGCAGCAGGTCCATGGCGTTTCCAATAAAAGCGGAGGCGATGACGTAGTTGACAAAGAAAGCACCGTTATCTGGCAAAAACACACACCTGCAGGAAGACACAGTGTGTTTTTAACTCAAAAAAAAACAAAAAATAACACAACAAATAAAGAAACCAGAGTCTGATTAGATCCACCCCACGAGGTGACGGTGACTATTACAGCCGCAGCGTGTGAAGTTACCCTCTTAACGTTGCGACGGTCAGCGGCAGACCGAGCCAGACACAACCGGATCATGTACATGAGGAGACCAGGAATCCGCAGCAGGTCCATGGCGTTTCCAATAAAAGCGGAGGCGATGACGTAGTTGACAAAGAAAGCACCGTTATCTGGCAAAAACACACACCTGCAGGAAGACACAGTGTGTTTTTAACTCAAAAAAAAACAAAAAATAACACAACAAATAAAGAAACCAGAGTCTGAAGACGTGATGAAGCACTCACTCAAATCTGACTGTTCCACCGTCAAGGAACTTCTTGTCAAAGAGCCAGCGGAAAAAAACATCCAGGCTATAACAAAAAAAATTAAAATTAAAAAATGCAGTTAGTGTCAGATAAAAGATCCCAGTATTTCAGATCATGGTGTTATTTCATCACCTGCTGAGCCCCAGAGACGGAAGCAGCAGCACCATGAAGATCAGGAAGGTGTAACATTTGTGCATGGTTGTCCTGTTTTCTCCAGACCTGCAGGGGGCACCCCACATTTTATATCAGGGATCAGATGGCACTGATTCATACATATTGAACTTAAGCTCATGTTTGTGTTTCATTGTTGAGGCTGACGTATATGATCTGATGTTTAAAAGGGAAGAAACCAAACTAGTACCTGGTCCAGTGAGCCTCGAAGAAGGCGGAGTAATAGACGATGGTCGGCAACAGAGCCGAGAAGGCCCAGAGCAGGAGTGTGGGGAAGAACTGAGTCACGATGGGATTCTATGAGAGAGAGGCGGGGTCAGAGACAGAGACAGAGACAGAGGCCGAGTGAGTAACGGAGCAGTGCTGGGAACCAGGACGGTGTGTTTACGGACAGAAGTCAGCGTCCGTCCTGAGTCCAGGCTGCACTTACGTTCAGATACTCCACAGGTTTGGTGACGTTGAACTTGTCCATGGTGGAAATAATGATGGCAGGTGTGGTGAGGAAAAAAAGGAGGATGAAGAGAATGCAGTTGATGATGAAGCAGCGGATCCACCACCTGACACCGCCCAGCGACAGGTGCTCCCTGCAGACACACGTCAGAGGAGAGAGTCGGGAAAGGAAAGTGAAGCGCTGCTCATCGTGACACCGGACACCAGCCGTCACTAAAGAGCAGAGCAGGGGCTCAGCTCAGGCACCGGGGAGCAGCGAACCTGAAACCTTCCTTAACCATCAAGGTGGGACGCGAACCCACAATCCCCAGCTCCAGCGGCTGATTCCTCCAGCTCCAGTGAGTTTGTTAGATGTGTGTGTTTGGAGCGCGTGGACTCACCAGCGTACGTTCTGGGGGTCCGGTGCATACGACACACTCCAGTTGTGGACATGGAGAACTTCGCTGAACTGAGAGGAGCCAGGCTCCAGGCGACAGCGACAGCCCTGAACCTGACAGGCGTTGAAGTCCTTCAGAATGCTGGAAAGTGAAAGGAGAAAGAAAAACGATTACTGTGAGCCTGAATCAAAGGAAATTAAAAAAACAAAAAAAAAACCTGTTCTCAGCAGATGAAGACTTACATCGCAGTCATGGCTTCGTTCTGGAAGGTCACGAACGCCATGCCCAGAGGTTTGGTGTGAACCTTTTCCTTCTCCTTCCTGTACTCCTCTTTTAGCTTAGCCTCCCTCTTGGTGTAGTAGCTAACTGCCTCCTCCTGCAGAGAGTTAGCAGATGAGCAGATGAAAGGGTTAGTGTGAAGCGCGTTACATACACGACAGACACAAAAAAAAGAAGCGGTTCACAACGTTTTTGTACCAGTAAAGGTCGCCCAGTATCAGCTGTTACTGCAGACCACGCCCTCGTTGTAGGAACATTACATTTTTGATAAAATAAACATCTTTTAGACTTTATTCTCTTAGTGTCAGAGTTTGAATGATCTGTTATTTTTGTAACGTTGCTAAATCATCTTCAAGTAAAGGTATTGACTGAATACTTTTTGAGTGAAGTAAATTAGTAAAACTGAAGTATATTTTTTCCACTGCAGCACGGTACCAAATGATCTACGGACCGTCACCGGTCCCCTAATTAAAAGCAAAGGGATATGACTGATGAATTTGAATGAAGTAAATAAGTAAAAAATACTTTTTTTCCCACACTGTGTCCCGGTACCAAATGAACTATGGACGGTCACTGGTCCCCAGACCAGGGGTTGAGAACCCTTGGTGTAGCATATTACCAATAATTCACTCGTGGCCTTTAGCTAATCATAAGGACTCAAATGTCCGCATTAGCCATTAAGTTCTAGGGGCTAAACACGTGAGTCAATGGTAGGTTAGCATTAACGCTAAAGTCAAAACAGTAAATTCGTATTTGAGCATAAATGCTAATGTTGACTCGTGGCCATATATACAAAATGCCTCCATTTAATGTACAGTATGTCTTAAAGAAAATCAGGAGAGTTCATAACGATACTCCAGCCCAGACACAGACACAAAGATCAGCTGAAGCTAATCAGCCTCTGAACAACAGTCAGGTCATCACCTCCTCACAGCCTGCAATGGCGCAGCAGCACAGGTGTCCACAGGGTTTAGGGTTGATCATGGTCGGAATGTGTTCCTTTGCCATTAGGTCGGTGAAAAACTTTTTACTGCGCTCTGTCTTCTTTCTGGAAAAGAAACCGTTGACAACAGGATCAGGAAATGTGGAGAACGGTGGTGCCTTTGGATACCTGACTCGGTGACCCGAACCAAGAACTGGTGCTCACCTTTCAGCGTTCAGAGCCATCAGTTTGGCCACGTTGTAACAGATGCGAGCCTCCAGCACGGTGCAGTTCTCATATGCCTGTCTGAAAATGTCACAAACCGATGACATCAGCAGGGGGAGGAGCAGAAAAACAAACAAACAAAGAAAACAAACAACAACAATCCCCGTTTACTCACTCAAAGTGCTGTTTGATCCAATCCCTGTTTACTCACTCAAAGTGCTGTTTGATCTGGGTCTCCTCGGCGTATTTGGAGATGCCATTAATAAATAAAGTGCGTTTCACCTGCGTGACAAAGAACAAACGTTTTACCAGACTGTGTACAGGTTTTGGAATATATATATATATTTTTTATGATGAAGCCATTTGTTACCAGGTCGTCCTCCTTGTAGTGCATCTTAGACGTGTGTCTCCTCATGCTGTAGACGGTCAGGAGCAGATACATGAAGGCAAAGGTCGTATGGAGCCACAGAAGATTTGTCCTGAAAAACAACTGTCTTCAGTGAGAATATCTAATGGGAATACAACGACCTCTAACCTCTGGAAATATTTGTCTAACATTTGTGGCAGTGAGACATGTAACTAGTTTTCCAACACAAGTTCAGCTTTAATACAGAGCTAAGCTAACAGTTTTCCTGCCTTCAATCTTTACGCTAATCTATGCTAACATTTACTTTTAACTCCAGTTTTGTTTTTACTTCTTCCTGTCAAATACTAACTTGTAATTAGCTAGGTTTTATGGGCTATGCTAACACCTCCTCGCTGCCTCCAGGTGTGTTTATGCTGAGCTAGGAAAACAATGGTTTTGGTGCAAAGCTAGGCTAACCCAACACATTGAATCTTAGTTCAGTTCTTGCTGGATCACATGACCACACTCCTCCTCAGACTCACTCAGACTTCAGGTTGGCTATCGTGGTGCGTCCAAAGCTGTAGGCATTGTTCTCTGGAAGAAAGACGAGAGGAGGTGAATTCAAAATGTGGACTTTACTTTTGACCTTCAGGAACGACTGAAATAAAAACACACCATAACAACAAAGTCCATGGAGAAAATGTGAGATTTGACATGACATGTAGGTAAGAACTGTAAAGTTGTTGAAAGTCTAATTAGAAAGTTTGAATGTGATGTTTGGAATCTTTCTACCACATTTACCCCACTGTAACCAACTGAACACAGGGGGCACCAGTGGACCAGGACTAATTGTGTTCTGCTAAAAAAACATATTTTCTCCATGGACCTTGGTTTGGGAGAAATGTTATCATAACATCATGGAAGCTTCACAGTTTGTGGAAGGTTCTTAGACTGTACCACACTTGTTTCCTAAGACGATACAAGAAATGACCCAAACATTTCTGAAACAACACCCCCTAGTGGGCATGAACATTTGCGATGGTACTCAATATATAAGGCCTTGTCACAAGTCTAGGACCCGTGGACCTGCTGAGACTTGGACTCTGGGCGCTCCCAACCACAGTGACATCACAGACTACAGGAGTGACATCACAGACTACAGGAGTGACATCACAGATTACAGGAGTGACATCACAGACTACATCATCACAGCCCCTGCTCTTACACCAACTGTTTTACCTTCTTTGGACGGTGGACCCGTCCTTGCAGCTTCTTGGCTGAGGAACACTGAGTCTGCACTGATAATTCTGACTACATTTAATGACAAAGAGGGCGAGAACATGGTGAGGAGAGGCGACCTCCGCGGTCAGGCGACTCAGGTCTGTAACCCTCTGACTTATACAGGTCTGTGCTGCGGTCGCCGTTCTTACCCAGCAGGTCTCCGGAGAAGTTCACGGGGAGTACGATGCCGACAGACAGCACGCCTACGACGACAAGCAGACCGATGATGTGACGCTGGAAGGACAGGTAGTGGACGGCGTCCTCGCCACATTTCTCCCTGATCTCCTCATCTCTGCAGAAGGAGGCGGAGTCAGACGTTGACAACATTTTTCACGCAAACTAGTGAGGTTCATCTGTCTGCAGTCATCTGACTAAAGAAGGCAAAGCTACATGCTAACTGCTATGCTAACTGATTCCGCGTGTTTTTAAACTCTTGCTCAAAAGGTCTGAAGTTATATTTTCTTATATTTTGTATATTTTTCAAAAGAGAAGACATAAGAAAAAAGTTGATAAAATAGAAAAAAAAATCTAAATCTAAATTCTTTATATTGATTTAAATATAACAAAAATATGAGAATATTGTTGATACTCACTTTATTCTGAAGATGGCCGTTAGCCACGAGCAAAATCCCTGCAGCAAAAAAAAAAAAAGAAACACGTCACGTCAATCATCCAATTACATTCTTCAGATCAAATGCACACACACACACACACTTACATTGTCTCTCTGCTCAAAATCAACTGAGCTGGACACAGACGTTAGGCGTTCATAGCGATCAGGTGTTTCTGAGTGCATCGCCGAAGCAACGCTACAGAGACGGACAGGAAAGAAAGAAAAGTCAGTTTCCTGTTTGCTATTAGCACTTAGCCACTCTGACCTTGGACTGGGCTGATCCTCTGGAAAAGCGCTCTTAAAGATAGCAAACACAGACAGAAGCTAAAGGGAAGTCCAAACCTGAGTTGGTACACTCACTAAAAACTCAAACTGATGACGATTGGAATCAGGCTGATATTAAAATCCAGTTGTAAATGAATTATCACAGTTGATGTTTTAACGATTTAATACATTTAGGAAATGTACCAACTTTTTTTCCAGACTGGTTCAGTTGATTAAATACAAACACTGACATTTTCCTGATATTTTTTTAATCTGTGGTCACATCACATGAGGCTAATGCTAACCCCTAACACTCATACCAGTAAAGGACAACACGACTGATCTGAGCACCGTCACAGCTAGTCTGAACCTGCTAGCTAAACAGTCGAGTAACACTTATCAAGACACGTGGGGCTAAAACATCACAAACGTCCTGGGTTTTTTGTTTGTTTGTTTTTACCTTTTTACCGGTTCATAGTTATCTCTGTCTCGTCTCCGGCTGATTCACATTCACATAAAAACAAGCGGATTAGCATCAAACTTGTTAGCATAAAAGAGCTAAACTGTATGTTACACTGCATTGGTCACACAAATCGTACAGATTTTTAACCTGTGGTGTTTTTTCGTTGTGGTCACCACATGTTAAACAGTTAAACACACCAAACCAAACACACACGGCAGAGTAAGAAAACGGTGTCACGGGAAATTCAGTCACTTCAGTGTGTGAGATTTACACCCTGACGTCACGTCTTTCCTCTTTAAAACGTAATCATTTTGTCAACTTTAAGCTGTTTAAGCAAAGTCTAGCTACATTCTCTATTATTATTACTAACTAATAATAATAATTTCATTGGCAAATCTGCTCCAACAGGCTGCCACCTGGAGGCGCCAAGTACATGGCTCTTCTGGGAATCAAACCCAGGACTACCTGCTCTCTGTTTCCAAGGCAGCCGTGCTAACCACCATCGTATGAATATGCTATGTGTCTTTGCTATGTTTCGTACCATTTTTGCTTACTTCTAGCTATTTCCAGGCTAACCTTTATGTATATTTTAGCTGCTAATCTTTTATTTCTACTAGCTTTTACTAGAGTTACTAACTATAACCAATTTATCTTTCATTACTGGCTCCCTTCTAGCTAACACAAACTCTATTATTTTCTGTAAATGTACAGCACTTTTGGTTCTCTGACGTGGTTCAGACGTTGGAGTTGAGAGTGTAATAATATTATAGTCAATAAATCACAGACACACAGGCTGGAAATGAAAAAAAGGTTTAGTTAGTGCTAGAAATAAAATAAGGAAAAAGCAGAGAAATAACTCCTTAGAGGGCAAACCAGAAACCTACTCTTCCTCCTCCTCCTCATCGGTGAAACAACTCCCCAGTCTTAACATTGAAAAACAAAAAGAGAAAAAAAAAACACAACTCCTGTGAGAGAGAAATGACATCACGACTCTTTGGGCTAGAACTCAAACCGGTCACATTTATGGACCTCCGTGATCTTTTATGGTTCATTTGAAATATTTTTAATAAAACATATCAGTGTGACTCCATATCTGTAACACGTAAAAACAAGAAGCTGAAAATTAAAACACAATCTACGTTGGGACCAAACCAGATTATTCCAGTCCTGTTCTGAGAATGCTCTCCTCAGAAATAATAAACATTTATTTATTTGTCCTAAATAAAACAAATAAATAAAGAACTTTGTCCTAAATAAAACAAATAAATAAAAACAACATATTATATATTATACACATGCAGGATTTGACTCACTGCATTCATCCATCCAGTAAATATAACTATAGACTCTATACAACAGGATTGTTTTTATAACAACTACACTGGTGGACCACAGGAAATGAGGTGGCGGGCCTGGATTCAGCCCACGGGCCATGAGTTTGACACATGTCAATATACCATTATTGCTGTCTGACATAATTTTAAATTTAAAACCAGACTCTCACTGAGTAGTAATGATGGTGTAGTCCAGCAGAGGGGGCTCTAAACACCTCGACTTAAACTCTATTTTGAACGCCTTCTGGTCTAACCATTAAAAATAAACATGGGTTTTATCTTTTTTAAAAACAGCGTCTTAGTTAACAAATGTCAGACCGTGGTGGATCAGGATTGAACGCCTTCTGGTCTAACAATTTAAAAAAAAAAAAAAAAATCTAACCATTAAAAAAATAAAACAATCAAACAAATGTCAGACCGTGGTGGATCAGGTGACCTACCTGTCAGCGTCAGTGACCAATGCCAGGCGACCATAATCCCATGCGACTTTCCTCAGGATGGAGAATACAAAGAGCAGCACCTGAAGAGGAATTTAATATAAAATTAACATACACAGTTGATGAACAACATTTACCAATTTTCAACATTTTTTTTAAAGACACTTAGTCACAACGGGGAGGTTGCTGGTTTAACTCCTTTCACTGCTGCAGTAACAATGCCAATCAGCCAATCACAATACTTCCACAGACGTCGCAGACGCTGCGGCCTTTACACTGAGTGATGCTTTGAAAATCCAGGTCAAAAATGTTTAATCCACAAGAAAACATGTGATGGAGAATTCTGCTGAGTCATCTCTGGACCAGACACCAACCAGCGGAACCAGATGAGATTAAAGACTCATCCAGACGAACACTGACCAAGGTATTAAAACAGCTCTGACGACTTTTCTCGGCAAAAAGCAAATTTCTGCTGACTAACCTCAGTTTTGCTGAGTCACTCGAGTCACTAAGTATGTTTCTGCTCAATTAGCCGGGAACTAAGCTCCATTTAAAAAAAAATCTGCTGACTCATCCTAGTCCTGGGTATGTATTATGGACCCAACACAGCAAGAAAGATGGTTCACTTACCCAGTTTATTCATGACTCAGCAGAATGTTCACCATATCATAAGAAGTCATCTCTGCTCTTGGTACAATTCTACTGACTCAGCTAAATCCTAACCACGGTCCAGCTGACTCGGTTCAATCCCCAGAAAGGTTCTAAGGACCTGGTGTGACATTGACCCAGGTTCTGCTGACTCATGTGGGCACCAAGCACAGTTCTGTTAACTGAACTGGTTCTGATCACTCAGTCAGAGCTCCATTTACTCACTGACTCATCCGATCAATGAGCGTGAGTCGGCCGAATCTGCTGACTCACGCTAAATCGGCAACATTGTCCCGTGTCGACACAGAGGTCAGGTACGATGGCACGGTTCGGTCTTGGTTCTGCTGACTTACCAGGAAACACATGAAGTCGAGGGCGAGCACAGTGGGGATTCCTCCAAAGGGCAGCCCCTGAAGCACAGTGCTGCGAATCCTCGCTGAGTAACAGTATTCTAACTCGCTGTTAGACGAGCAGTTCTGACCGCCACAAGCCCGAAACGCCATTCTGAACATGGTCACTTTCACATCTCCCTGAAAGACAAGAAAACATTTGGTCATTTAAAAAACATGAAGGAACCATTAAACTAAAGAACACAGAAAAAAAACAGTGAATAAAAAAAAACAATATCATGCATTGGTTTGTACTTCAGGAGCTGACTACATATCCCAGCATGCACCGGCAGCAGCGGTCGGGTGGCAGCCTCCCTCTCTGCTCTGTCACCCAATGATCTTGTTGCCACAGCAACGTGGACGGCGGCTCCTGACCTAGTTTTAACGCCTGAACGAACGTTTGTCGCAAAATACAAGCAGAAGCACAGGATCACATGTCTGACCGAGGACAAAGACAGAGACGGGGGACAACGTCCACCTACTGCTCACATGGACATGTGTGAGTGTGTTGTCGGTTAAATGAACCCACTGGCAGCAGGAACATGACCCAGCAGCTCCTCCTGTTGGTTCTGCAGGTGGTTCTGCAGCATCTTTGTTCTGATGAGGTTTTAGCGGAAGATCAGAAACTGAGACATCGGCAGGAAGTGATGTCACCTTCAATTTTTAAGTTAATATATGAGAGAAAAAAAATCTAAAGAAGTCTTGGTTTGAGAAGCTGAAATCTATAAAGTTAATATTATATGAGAGAAAAAAAAACTCAAAATAGTAACATCAGAAGAAGTCTTGGTTTGAGAAGCTGAAATGATGAACTGGAGATCAGAGAACAGAAATTCCACGTATAGAAAACTGAACACAACAAGTTCTCTGTGTGGAATCCTATTGGCAGAGAACTGAAGCCTAATTTAAATTTTAAAAAAAAGTTTCAAAAGAGGACATTTATTCCTAGGATTAGCCTTTAAGAACTATTTTTTTGTTGTGGTGACAGTTGATCACATGAGACGAGGTTTTCTGAGGCAACTTGTACAAGGACAATTTGTACATTTTGTAAAAAAAAAAAAAAACACAAGACAATGTTTGTAACTACTGATAACAGTGGTGAGAACTTATATCTGTATGTCAGCATGACTGTTTGGGGGTGAGGAGGTGGGGGGGGGGGGAGGGGGAGTTACAGATAAAACAGCAACTCTTTCAAACTCACATAAACACAGTGTTGCTAACCACAGTCACAGTTTGACGTTGAAGACTCAGGTTTTTGCTCTTTGTTTGTCTGTAGCTGTATTGGACATTTTAATGGTCATAGCTCAGAGAGCGCCCTCTGCTGGCAAATCCAGACTGGCTTATTAAAAGGATTTTTTAACACAAGTCTCAAATCACACACTTAAACTTAATGATGCATAAAAAAATAAATAAGAAATAGGCAAAAAAAAGTAAGACCTGATACAAAACCTAACAAAAGAAAAGCCTAAAGTTTAAAGTTTTAGCCTGAATTAAACAAAATGGATGAAAGGCAACAGTAAAACATAAGAAACCCAAATGTTACAAATTTGAAAAAAATTATAAATTAGCAACAAAAGATACCCCTAAGTTGGACAAGAAATAGCTAAAGATTAGCAAAGAAATAGGAAAAATAACTAAAGGTCAGATTAAACATAAACAAAATTTAAAAAAAAAACAACCACAAAACAGGAGTAATTTTATTTTGGAAAAATCTATTAGACCAAAAAAGGTCAAAAGGTGAAAATCGTTTAAAAGGAGAAAACAAAATAAATCTAAACAACTAATACAATAATACATTTTGATTAAAAAAAATAAAACTGACAAAATCAATAAACACACGTTTCCTCTTTTTTCTCTAAACATTAGCCTAGCTAACATCTGGCTGCTATTTTGATCATATCGGACTATCCAAGTCAGATTTAGGTTATCTTTGAATAGTTTTGCTAATTTAAAAAAAATAAAAATCTTCGTACTCTTCAGATGTAGCAGTTTTTAACAGCAATTAGTAAAAACTGAGGAGGTTTTTTTATGCTGCAATAAAATCTGTCTCAGTCCAGTAACAGTTCCAGTTCCATTAGTCATATATTACTGATATTGTATATGTTTGGACAAATGGAAACACAAAAATTAACCAGTTCATTTCTTAGTAGTGAATGTTTACACCTGGCGCTCGGCCCTGTTTACACATAACACGGTTTTACAGCTGTCGAGACTCAAACCTCCAACAGTTTGAGTCTGTTCTAAACCAGAGGTTTTAAGGCCAGAGATCCTCAACTGATGGAACAGGAAGTTGGTTTTATGGTAATGTGCATTTAATGGTGTTAGAAAATAGGGAAATCCGTTGAGAGAACAACATTTAAAATATATTAAAAATTGCAGAGCCTACACTGATTCAATTAGAACAATGAATATTTAATTCATATTTCCACTGAGACCAGTTCACTTTGGTTTCCTGTCACTGCACCGGTTTTCTGAGTGGATCTTCTTGAACATAAATAAACAAATAATTTGTATCATTTAAGAATGCTTTGATCCATTTGAGTGTCCTAACAAAGTTAGTGTTGACTCAAAACCTTAAAGAACAAACATGGCAACACATGAGTCAGTTCTCAAAGAGCCCAATAATTTACTCTCATCTTTAAACATTTGACTAATAATTCAGTTACTGAACACAGAGTAAAATAAATGGGTTTTTTTAATGAGTGACTCGGTTTGTCAACGTAGAAAATGGTTTTCCTGAACTCCAATATGTGATCATTTTGTCCTTAGCTGTAAAATGTTGGATACAGTGTCATCGCCAGTGATGACGCTGAACCAGAGCTGACAGCGTCACCGCTGCACTGAGCTGCGGCTCTGCTGCACCTGCAGTCCCGCCTGACGCCGCCGCCCCTGCCGCAGCGAGTCAGAGGTGGCGGAGGGACAGAGACAGAGACACAGACAGACATCCAGACGGAGATAAAGACAGACAGGCCGGTGTGTCCTCTGCGCACACATTATATAACCCCCTCCACCCCCCCTTCCCCTCCCACCACCAACCCCACCACCACCAGAACCTCCAGTCGGGATGGATGTTGGCCGGTAGCGGCCTACACGCCGCGCAGCTCTAACAAAGCGGCACAGAACAGACCGACTAATCAATAAACCCAATTAGAATAAAGCCGGGACCTGCCTTCACTCCTCCTCCTCCTCCTGCTCCACCGCCACCGCCCCAGCTCCGGTATATCAGCCGCCGCTTCACCGCCGAGTCTCACACCGTCAGTGTCGCAGCGCCGCGCCGCCTGCGGTCCATCGCCGCCGGAGCCATCCAGAAACAGTGTGACTGCCGTGCAAGGTACCGCCGCAGGAGCGTATCCCTCCGCTGCCGATGCCGCTACGGCTGCTGATGCTGCTCCGCCCTGTGTCCGCGGCAAAATGGAGGCGGTGTCTGTCCAGAATTAGAAAGAAGAGGAGGATTAAGAGGAGGCCGACAGGGGGCGCCAAAACCCACGCACACAAGGAACAATATGTACTTGTATTTGCATGACCACAGAGCACACATTCAAACGCTCGGCCCGAGCGGAAACTGAGGCTCTTATATTGTACAGAAAATACACGCTTTAATATTTTATACACATTCATATACATTCTGTATCGTTTTTCAATTTTTTACCAAGTTTCAAAATCTTTGACTAACTTGTATTTCATTAATGCCGACTTTATCTACCTCTGGGCTTAAATTTGAAAAAATTTAATTTAAAAAATGACACCATGTTTAAGCCAATTTATAAAGTAGTTTAATTATTTCTAATTTGCTTGTTTATATCCATTAATCACCACCGAAATAGACCAAATATGATAGGAACAACTTGGAGAATGATCACATTCTATTGATAAATATTTGATGCAGGAACAACTTGGAGAATCACATTCTATTGATAAATATTTGATGAAAAAGAAACCCTATTTGTAAAGAGGTTTCTTATATCTGGAGAACGAAGGTTAAGACATACTTATCATATATGTATATATAATAAACTGGATCTGAAGGAATTAGGTGATTTCTCATCTCAATATGAGTCTCAGTTGGCAATTTCACTCTAACACCACAGACCTAAGGCACTTTTGGAACCTGTTGAAGAATGATTTATTAAGTAAGAGTAGTAGTAGAGTAGATGCAAGAGACTTGTTGAAACCACTGCGATCTCAATTAGCAAAAAAGAAACAATTGTCAGTTCTTAATTTACTTTGTCTGGTCAACGTTGCCTTTATTTGGTGGAAGTTCATACGTTACAACAGTAGGTTCTAGCTGCCCACTCTTTGTGCCCACGTTCTGTGATGAAGATCCCTGATTGGTTGATTTTGAGTCTCTGTATGTGTCATGGTAACATCTCGGCAGGAATCTCCACCGTCCAGAGGTCACGACCTCCTCGGCTGCTCAGTGGTGCCTTCAGCCAGCGAGGGTTTGACAGTTGAGTCAGGTGTTTCTCATGGAGACCGGACAGAACAGCTGATTTCTGTAGACGCTGTAGCTCCTCACCCTGCAGGGAGGCAGGGCACTGCCAGGTGTCACCCACGTCCACCAACCCTATGGGAAAATACACAAGGAAACATGTTTGATGCCATGTAGTAATTGAAGCTCAACAGATGATAAATTGTTACCCACCTGCCACCACGCCACGACCAAACCGCTCCCCTGACACCAGCAACCTGTCCACTTGAGCTTGCTGCATTCCCAACAAGGTACCAAGCACCTCCCGCCACTCGTCACCTTCCCAGTCTCGCCAAGCAATGTGGATTGCCAAGGTCTGGTTCTGTAGAGGAGCCAGCAGAGGGCGCCAACGACTCTCCACTGTCTTTACACCATCCAGGATCAGACCAGCGTACGGCTGCCGGAAAGAGAGGCACCAAACCTGCAGGGTCATGTCTGGCAAAAAAAATAAATAAATCAAGTTACAACCTGACTACAGAAATGAAACAAACACTGTTTTACATAATGATGAAACAAATATTCAGATCGAATGATGATAAAAACAGATCCCAAATATATGACAAACACGATAACGCCCCAACCATTAAAAACAATAACATAACAACCACATTTTTAACATTTAATTTTCATAAACTGACCAAACAAATGCACAACTAACACATTCCCTAATGTTAAAAAATACACCCATAATTAATTTATTGAACAGAAAACGAATACATTCATATAAATTGACACTACAATAAAAACAAAAGCATCAAACAAACATTTAAATTATGATATAAAGTAATGCATCCAAGACATATAATAAAAAAGGATATAAAGCAATGCACCCAACAAATCTATTAAAAAAAGCCACAAATTAACAAAAGAAGGACAAATACGGAGTCATAAAAACAGTACGTCATGAACAATACGCGTAAATCACCACAAATCTTATCTTACATTCGACACAATGTCAACTATATTATGTACTAGTGTAATATCCCAAAGTTGAGTTTAGTTGTATTCGACCGATCATTTGCCAAGCAGGAAAAATGTCACTGTAGCTGGAAACTGGCTGAATTTACTGCATGAAGTTATAAAACTATAAATCTTGTCTGAGGAGTATTTGGTTAAGTGTCGGTTGTATTAAATAAAACAACCTTCCACAGGAAAAACACTATTTTGTTTTAACATCGTTTCTCCCCCTGTTGATGGCGGACAATCCGCGTTGATATAAAATTCCGAGAGACAATAATGTGGTTTGATTTTATTAAAATAGTGTCATTAAATGCGTTATCCGGCGACAAAAGTATAAAAATACAACTCACATCCAATGCTTCGAATGGACTGCAGATCCCGCCCACAAACTTCCGCCTTCCTGGCATTAGACTCGTTTGTCTGGTTCGAACGGCACAAAACATTTAAAACTTCATTACCGCCCCCGTGTGGCCAGTATAGCAAAGGGAACAGAAAAGTTACCCCCTTATCATTCGTGTAATTAAAAAATAGATAAAAAATAGATAGATAACAAAAAAATTATTAACACAAATTAAATTAAAAATTAAAAATAAATACAAAATAAATAAAAGGCTCTTTATTTATCCATCTGTCTAAGTTACCTTTGACAAATAAAAAATAAAATGACCAAAAAAACAAAAAAATTACATAGGGACATATATTAAAAAGTATTTAACTCCTGATTAGCAGCTGAAGGATGATTCTGTTCCTCAGCAACAGGGGAAATGTTTCAGTTAGAGGTCGTAACAACACAATAAAACAAACATCAGAGTTCAGTACTTCTGCTTTTAATTGATATTAATTTTAACCCAACCACATGCAAATTACAGCATTGATCAGTAAAGGTCTACAGCCAATCACAGTGTTTGACAACTATGACATAATGGCACAGAAAATATTAACATCACATTATCAGGAGCATGTTCAAAACAAGGAAATATTCATACAACACAGCTAACTTAACACACAATTAACTATAAATAAGTCATAACTTTGAATATAATTAAACATGCCACTGAAACAAGCAAATAAAAAGTTCAGTCACAAAATAAAGCACAAAATGAGGCAGACATTTATCTCACGTCTGATTGGTTCACACAGGCCTATCGGACAGCACCTGCTGCAATATACAACTTTTCACTATCCACACATGAAAATAAACTCTGTCGTACCACATCGCTTGTCAGAGCTAACAGCTGCTGTAATTAGTCGGACCAGTCCTGGTCCTCGGGATCGGACTCATCCTCTGACTCACTGTACTCCACTGCAATGCGCCGGGAAAGGATGGTGGCAACATCGTTTCCTGTGGGCTCACGTTTCTCTTCCTGTTCACGCTGCTCTTGCACCTTCCTCAACTGGATCCCTGTCAACGAATCAGAAAACAGGCAATGAAACAAAAGCAACCAATCAGATGGCTTGTCCACATCAAACACACTCACTCCCACTCAACTACTAGCGCATCACTCAGACTAGGCTAGATGTTGCTCACCTCTCCGTATGGCGGCGAGTAGGTCGCTGCGGGCGTCGCTCATTGGCATATCTTTCCCTGACAACAGCTGTGGCACCATAGCAGTGGGGGGCGGAGCCTGTGCTGCAGGGCGTCCGGGAGAAGGGATGTAGTTAGTAGGAAGCGGCGGAGGAGGGGCAGGGCTTTGTGTACGGGATACCCCAGCGGCGACACCTGCAGGCCAAATAAAAATGATCGATTTAGTTTTTGTAAATCAAAACGAAACAAATCGTTAATAACATTGGATTATTTTACTTTCTTTGTCCATTACCTTGGTTACCAGAAGCGGCTGCGTGTTGTACAGGTGTTGCCCCGGCAGCAGCGTGGATGGAACTGTTGGAAATTCCCATTGTTCCCACTGAGGGCAGTAGAGGGGGCGGAGGAGGAGGAGGTGCAGGAGGTACGTGAAGGTCACTAAGATCAAAGGTAAAGAACTCAGTGTGTATATATCAGAATCGTAAATTAAGTGTTTGGACAATATCAGCATATCGGTCACATCGGTCATCCCTAGTTTTTACATACTTCATATCGGTCATCCCTAGTTTTTACATACTTGGCTTCTTTAGCAGCAGTGGCCCGGCCTGCACTCTGATTGGTCGAAACAGCAGGTGTGCGAGCCTGATTGCTGCGGCTCAAAGAGTGTTGGCGTCCACTTGAGGTTGTGGCGACATTGGGGCGAAGACCTCTGTCCAAAGACTGCGTCTGCCCGCTGCTGGTCATCACAGCGGTCACATGGTCCTTCACCTCATGACCCTGGGCTTTAGGAAGGCGGGGGCTGGCAGTCATGCAAGGCTCATCACTTGACCTTGACCTTGTGGGCGGGGTTAATAGTATCAGATCACATGTGACTCTGCAAATTTAGCATCTAATCTTTACTGAAGTCAGACTTGATAGCTAACCCAGCACCTGGTCATGTGACATTACCTGTCAGGTGACTCAGAGCCTTCGGACATGTGGTTCGGAGAGGGAGTGACTCGGGCGTCTGGACGCAGCTCCTTGTCATATGCCATCAGGTTCCACTCCTGCCGTCTGTTTCGAGCTTTACGAACCTTTGAACAAAAAAAATATTTTAAAAAATGCCCTAAACATGAGACAGAAATCTGAATCAAATTTAAATCATATTTAAAACAAATTCTGATATAGTTGTGGACCAAGTTCTGGCTCCAGTTCCAATCTTTTGTACAGTTCTTCTCCAAATCAAGGCCTAATATGAAACTATTCCACTTCCAGTCCAGGCCTTTATTAAAGGATTGTAATCCAGGCCATGAGCCACATAAGACATGTTTTAAAAATAAATCTGTTCCATATGTTCAGTATTGTTGGCCCCTTTTAAATACATATGTTTTATAACAACATTAATCAGAATTATGAGTAGAATTCAGATTCAAGAATATATATAGAATATATATAGAACAGAAACCTTTTTCACTTCACGCCCTGAAGACTCCTCCACATGTTTCTGCTCCTGCACACAGTCAGTCAGTCAATCCATCAGTGAAACAATCAATCAACAAATCAATCAACAAATCAAGAAACTACTGACAGCTGTTTTCACCTTGTGTCGTCTTTTCTCTTTGCGTTTATTCTCTGTGGCTTGAAGCATCTTTTCCTTCCACAGGTCGAAGAAATACGACGAGTCAGTGAAGAACTTAAGGGCATCCCTTTTATCATCTCTACACAAACACAGAAACAAAACAGATTTTAGCCACCACCGCAAGCTAATGACAGAATAATGACTCAAGTCACCACCTCTTCTTATCAAGAGCCAGCCATTTTGTCTAAGGCTAATTGAACCAGCAGGGGGCGCCCGATGTACAATATCAGAATACAGGGTGTAATACCAAAGGCCGATCTGACCCTTTAGTCTGACCTGTAGGGTGTCAGGATGTTTAGAGGTGGAGGTTTGTCACATCGCTGGTACATCTCCAACACTGGGTTGAGGATGGATCTGCGTGACACCACCTGCTGGTCTTGGACAGTACTGCTCCTGAAGGCCTTCCTCATGTTGATGTCCTGCAGAGAAACTACACAACAGACGTGATTTTGTTTTGTTTTTTTGTTTTTTACCTGCTGTTAGACCTAATCACCAGCCCAGACGGGTGTCCAATGTGACCCACCCTCCTCCACTGTAGAGTCCAGCTGAGTGACCTTCACAGCTAGAAGCTCCACCCTCTCCTGAAGGTGGCTCATCCTCAGGTAGAAGCTGTTTGCCTCCGTGAAAAGCTCACTAAAGATGTCTTCTGCATACCGACCTGCAGGGGACACAAGCGTGTCATCAACAGTAGCATCAAGGACGAGCGTCTCACCGCGTCCACCGCCACTCACTGAGGCCTCCCAGCTGTTTGATGACGGCCGCTAGGGTGCTGTTGGTTACACACTCCAGCTCACTGGCGACACCATCAGGCAGTTTCCCCCGACACAGGTACCTGGGCTCAATGATGCGCTTCACAAGCGGCATGGTTCAGATGGAACCGCCCAGAATCGCCTGGAAATACCTGCAGTAACAGGGATTCACCTGACGTCACCTGTAGACACCGGAAGTCAATGGTGTCTACAGGTGACAAAAAAAAAAAAGAAAAAAAGATTGACCTGTTGTCACCTGCAGCCAGCAGTGTCCCAAGTGAGGACCTCGAGACGTGGAGAAAAGTGCTATGACCTTAAACCACCTGAGGTCGCTGCTGAGACACCACCACTCCAGGTGTAGACCAGGAGAGTCACATTGAGACACCTGGAGTGAGGTCACTGTGAATCAGTCAGCTGAATTCACCTGCAACCTGTGGAAAAAGATACATGTAATAAGATTACAACAACCTAAGTGTTATCCAATAATAACAGTGACGTCAATGTCACTGTTATATTTGAGTCATGAGATTGATGAACCTGGAACAGGATTAGTCTTTCTGGGTGATGTGGTGATTCAAATTGAACTAAGATTTTTTTTTTTATCATAACTATTTCAGGATCCGATTCAGAATCAGATTTAGGGCCAAGTATAAACGCACACACACTGCGTTCTGTCTTAAGATGAAATAAAAATATAGAAGAAACCCAAGAAAACGAGGAGAGGGTTAAGAACAGAGAGGAATATAAAGAATCAGAAGGAATTTCCTGCCGTCAGATGATCTCACCAGAATACAC